CAATTAAGTAAGAGAAAAAAACTTTTGAAGTGATAATCAAGATAGCCCAGTAGAGACAGTTTGATAAGAAGTGTGAGAATACTTACAAGGCTATCTTGATTATCACTTCAAAAGTTTTTTTCTCTTACTTAATTGGCCTCTCAGAGTTGGTAAGACAACTCCCACCTGTTCATGCTCTCTGTATGTGTGTATATATATATCCTCAATATATGTTCCACTCTATATGCATCCGAAGAAGTGGGCTGTTGCCCACGAAAGCTTATGCTCTAATAAATTTGTTAGTCTCTAAGGTGCCACAAGTACTCCTGTTGTTTCTGTGTGGTATTGTTATAGCTAATACTGTAATTGCTTGTGTGTTTAGCTACCACGTGCACTTATTTCTTTACCATCCCTGCCCTGTATTTGAATTGGAACTTGGGGAAATTCTGTATCTCTTTCATGAGCTTCGTTTCTGGAGTTGGGAGCAGGTCTTGATGTCTGGTTTGCAGGGCCAAATTTTGTTCTCGCTTACCTTTTGCAACCCCACACACAACTGTGTGAACAGGGGAGTTGCAGCATTTGAAGACTATGGGTTTGTCTGTTAACTGAGGACAGACTGCCTCAGGAAAAATATTAATGATGGATAATCCTGAAAAATGCTGCTTGACTTTTCCAGACTAGTTGAGGTGTTGGCAGCTGGAAAAACAATTTATTGTTAAAACGAGCAAATTGGATGTGTTGGCCATTGTAAAAATGGCATTTGAAGTTACTTTGTGTCTTGGTGTGCATTTTCATGATAGAACCACGCTTCCCATTTTCTATGGCCTTGTTTGTAATGACTCAACTGACCATATTGAGATGGGAAATAATTACGTATTATTTGGGAAAGAGGCCAGAGCACCTGTCCTCATTATAAAAGCGGGTTTCAGTTTTTTGCCCTTAATTTTCATAATCATTAAAGTTCTCGTAATTGCCATGTCTTAAAGCTGAAGTCTTTTTGGCTTTCACAGGGGCATTGGGGCTACCAGAAAAAGGCAAAAAATATCTGAGCCAGATGGATAAACTTTGCAGAGGGAATAGTTAGCTAAATTCTTAAAGCACCCCTGCTTTTAATGTCTACTTGTTTTACAGGTAACTTATAAAAATCGTGTCTAAAATAGACAAACTGGTTCTAACAAAACATGTTGTAATGCATCAGTAGTATGAACACAATCACAAAATCATTTCCTAGGAATTAATTATGTGGTATGGAGATTAACTAATAGGTCAGTCCTCCTGAACCTGGTCCAGGTCCATGATTACTGAAAGTTTGCCATCCGGATGACTGTTCAGGCTGAGAGATAGAAGAGTTCTTCAAGGGTTGGTCCCTGTCTGTATTCCACTTTGGGGATACACATGCTGTCTGTGCCCCTGGAGTTGGAGAATTTTGGCCTGTGCATGTGCTTTTGCTCTTCTTGTGCTCCCAACCAAGGAGAGAAACTGCTCTCCAGTTCCTTCTTACCACCTTATGGCCTGGGTTGGAGCCTCCAGTGTTCAGAGCTCTCCTTTGGGTTCTTCGTTCTTTAAATATTAAACATTGCCTTCGTGCTTTTTATATATAGTTATTTCCACAGTTAGTAGTTTTAATAGTTGTTATAGCTTTTAGTAAAGTTTTTATAGTTAGATAGAATCTCTGCCTGGTGGACGCCTCCACAACCCAGATACTCTATTAGAGTTTTCAGATTACACCAGGAATTCTAGGCTTCAAGATTTGTGTGTTTTGCCCCGTTCCTTCTTGGTCAGCGACAACCATATGCAGTGCTTGTACTGTTTTGGTAAGGTGCATATCACGGCTAGTTGTAATATTTGCTGCTCTTTCCCTAGCTGTACCTGTAAAGCACAGGAACTTTGGCTTAGAAAACACCTCATAGAGAAGGCCATGAGGCTGCAGTCGGACCCGGGACAGGGGGCACCTGTTGTACATCAGCCTAAATCTACACAGAGTACACCTCCCACCCCAAGAGCCTACTCTGCTACAGTGGAGTCTGTACTCAGACTCCTTATTGGGGTCTCATCGGGAAGGCAGAGAACACTCACACAAACATAAGAATAGGTCTCCTCCTAAGTCATCTCTGAAATAGTCAATCCTTAGAGGTTGAGCAGACCTACACTGTCAACCTCTAAGGACTTGGGACATGCAAAGTCCCAGGGCCAGGACTCTAACACCCATAAAGGAAGGGCTTCTTTGATACCAGATCCCGTTCCAGTGACACCCATTCCATCAGTACAGTACAGTTGTAGCAACACGAAGTCTCCCTCTTCTGACCAGTTCAGTACAAGTGGCTTGGACCCCTCACACTCCAAGGAAATCAGAGACTTACACTGCACCGAAGAATGTCTTTGCTCTTTCTCCAGCATCAGGACCTTCCCTAATGAGGTAGATGGTGACTGCACCCGTTGATGTTACCTTGGACCAGTGGCTTTCAACCTGTGGTCCGTGTAGACAGACTATATCTAAGGGGTCCGTGAAACAGTCTTGGTGTTCCAGTACTTTGTGCAACCACTAAATTTACACACATGACAATAAAGGAAAATGCAGGTGGCCATCATCCATCACTGTTCATACATTTGCGATTAGTATTTTCCATGTTAATTAGGTAGATAACTTTTCTTTCTGTTACAGCAGGGTATATTGTATGTAAATCACATGAAATATTTAGGCAAGAGGTTCAGTTTTGAAAACTGGGGCAGCTCTCTTGGCCTCAGTGGGACTGTGGCGATTTACACCAGAGAAGGACCTGGCCCTTTGTTTATTTTGTTAGTTATAAACATATCCACAATGGAATAACAGATACTTTCTGACAGGAAAGCTTGCTGCTTGATTCTTGGCTTGTGTTCTGGCTGTTCAGGAATTTCAAAGACACTTTAACGGCTTCTGATGTGCTTGACATGTCTCTACTTACCTTTATAGGCTCGAGATGACATTCTGAATGGCTCCCATCCGGTCTCCTTCGAGAAGGCTTGCGAGTTTGGAGGCTTTCAAGCACAAATCCAGTTTGGACCTCATGTAGAGCACAAACACAAACCTGGATTTTTAGAGTAAACCATTTTTGCTAATTTCTAAATTTGTGTCATTCTGTCCATGCAGCAATGCATAAAACAGTGGGTGTGTTCTGTGTTTCTGTCATCTTAGACTGATCTTTGATCAGTCAGTGCCATTTCTTAAATCGTTACTTTAGTGAGCTTTATACTTGATTTAAGGTATTCAAGAGACTCTCTTAAAAATGGTGGTGTGCTTTGGAACATACTATGCTTCAACCTTGATTGTCAAGAACTCTTAGTTATTGTAACTGTTACATGATGCTCAGTTATGCAGACAAATTCAGTTCCAATTAATTTGAGTAATCAAACTTCTGGTGTACCATCTGTGTTTAGTCTCACTACTGATTGGCCAATGACTCTTTACTTAAAGAGCTACCGATGTCTCAGAAAACACTATATGTAATAGACTTAATGTATTCCTGGTCCTCATTACTGAGACTGGTTGCGTAACAATTACATAACAGCATCTTGATTTCTTCAGGGTTTGACCATTGTCTGTGTATTCCCCTCCTGATGTGATGTGATATAGTGGGATGCTGTAGAAGTGCTAAGACAGGGGTTCTCAAACTTTTGTACTGGTGATCCCTTTCACATAGCAAGCCACTGAGTGCAACCCCCCTTATAAATTAAAAACATATTTAACACTATTATAAATATTGGAGGCAAAGCGGGGTTTGGGATGGAGGCTGACAGTTCGTGACCCCCCATGTAATAACTTCGCGACCCCCTCAGGGGTCCCGACCCCTAGTTTGAGAACCCCTGTGCTAAGATAATACTAAGTGAAGGTTATGACACCTGGATCTAGTGTTCACAGTAGTTGTTCCTCTTTAGAGGCATTATTCCTTTAATTTCTTTAAAAAAAGAAAAAAAAAAGTTTTCCCATCACAGCAGGGTTTCCCATATTAGAGCTCATTTAACTTCTCTCAAACTGCTGTGCTATGACAACAGAGTTCAGCTGCTGATAACCTTTTCGGGTTTAGTCTTTCCTGGTTATTTGCAAAGAATAAAAAAATTATTGTACCCAGCAGCTCTCTGGGTGTTGGACACAACCTGCAGAATGTAGATTTCCACTGGGCGGGCTATGGCAGACGTACTGTAACTCATTAAACTACAAAATCCTTTGCAGTATAAGGACTAGGTTTACTTGGTCCTGCCTCAGCACAGTGGGCTGGACTTGATGACCTCTCGAGGTCCCTTCACCAACCCTATGTTTCTAGGATTGTATGATTCTATCTTTGACAAACAATATATAAATAATTGAAATTCACATCTTAGGGGAGAGAGGAGAGTTTTCCTCTAGTGGAGTATACATACAGCTCAGCTTAAAAAGAGCCTGTTGTCTCTAGGGTTTTTTCGTAGAAATGATTTTATTTTAATTAGCCATAATTCAGTCAGAATAGTGAGGCATTTTATGTGACACTGATACAAACAGTATATATCCATTGTGCAGGCGCATGCCAATTCTTGCATGTACATTTCGTTAGCCTTTTTGTAACATTCAGTTAATGTTCCTTGATCAGCTTTTCCAGGTGTTCTTATTTTTTCCGTTGAAATATACTGATATGTTTAATCTAAGTCTGAAAGAGTTTAAGTTGCATAGAAGTTGCACATTACAACTCAATTGAAATAGGGTTGAGCAGTGTTCATTGACTAAACAATGTGACCTCAACACATAACAGGCTTCTATAAGAGATTCCATCTGCTTATACAAAAACAAATAAAGCAAATAGGGTTGATTACTTTTCAGCATTTTTCCAAAACAGATTGGTTTAGTTTACCATATCTGCAGTATGTTTATAGGGAGAGCTCCTTAATAGTATCCTTTTTTGTCATTGATAAATGACTTTTGGCAAATAAAGATTATTGCCTGCATTTTGTTAACACTTAGATACTGGTTGTTGGAATTTCCTTACAGAACATGCCAAAATAAATTTCCATTAGTATTAACTGTGAAAGTTCCTGGTTGATCAAATCTTAACTATCTGGATGAAGAAATATTTAAGCTTTGCATGGCACCTATGTGGGCAGACTGTGCTTTTAAATTTGAGAAAATAGCTATTAGAGAGGTCTTAAAGAAGCCCTTTTTCATTGGTATGTAGATAAGAGGGGAGTATTAAGTAGCTAAACTGCCCACCCAGATTTTTGGTCTCCAAGCAAAACCAGTAACCAATCACATAGCTTCTTTAATCCAAGCTATTTTGTAACAAGCAATAGCTTCCCCCTTTGTGGTGATTTCTTTCTTAATGAACATTAGAAAAATGTTCTTGATGCTCACGACAAACATCAAACTTTGGAAGCATGTATTTAATATCTTAAGCAAGTGAAGGAGCAAACTTATACAGGATTAAATTACTTAAACACTGCTTGCTATTGCATGTTGGACTGAATGAATAGTTCAACAGACGAGCAATTAAAGAGATTTCAGTGTACTTGGGGTGTGATATTTAGGTGGCTTTGTTAGCACAATTAAATGAACTGCCAATTAAGATTCAGTTATAGTGTCACAGCATAGATGAACACTATGTATTTTCTTCAGAAGTAGGATTAAAATAATTTTAAACAGTGGGTATGTCTCCACTGCAGTGTAAGCCCAGGGTTGGTTAGAACTCAAGTCAGCAGACTCTGGGTTTGTTAATTTAGAGCTTGAGCATCTACACTAATTTGTAACCCCAGTTTAAGAATTGTTGAACCCTGAGTCCCAACTTGTGGCTCCAGCATCTACACTGCATTATCTGGGCTTGAGTTCCACCACCAATATGCCAGACTTAGAATCATAGAAGATTAGGGTTGCAAGAGACCTCAGGAAGTCATCTAGTCCAATCCCCTGCTCAAAGCAAGACCAACCCCAACTAAATCATCCCAGCCAGGGCTTTGTCAAGCTGGCTCTTAAAAACCTCTAAGGATGGAAATTCCACCACCTCCCTAGGTAACCCATTCCAGTGATTCACCACCCTCCTAGTGAAGTAGTTTTTCCTAATATTCAACATAGACCTCCCCCACTGCAACTCGAGACCATTGCTCCTGAGAGCAGGAGACCATCTGCCATCACTGAGAACAGCTGAGCTCCATCCTCTTTGGAACCCCCCTTCAGGTAGTTGAAGGCTGCTATCGAATCCCTCCTCACTCTTCTCTTCTGCAGACTAAATAAGCCCAGTTCCCTCATCCTCTCCTCGTAAGTCATGTGCCCCAGCCCCCTAATCATTTTTGTTGCCCTCCGTCGGACTCTATCCAATTTGTCCACATCCTTTCTGTAGTGGGGGCGGCCCAAAACTGGACACAGTACTCCAGATGTGGCTTCACCAATGCCGAATAGAGGGGAATAATCACTTCCCTTGATCTGCTGGCAATGCTCCTATTAATGCAGCCCAATATGCCATTTGCCTTCTTGGCAACAAAGGCACACTGTTGACTCGTATCCAGATTCTTGTCCACTGTAATCCCCAGATCCTTTTCTGCAGAACTGCTACTTAGCCAGTCGGTCCCCAGCTTGTAGCAGTGCATGGGATTCTTCCATCCTAAGTGCAGGACTCTGCACTTGTCCTTGTTGAACCTCATCAGATTTCTTTTGGCCCAATCCTCCAATTTGTCTAGATCACTCTGGACCCTATCCCTACCCTCCAGCATATTTACTTCTCCCCCCAGCTTAGTGTCATCTGTGAACTTGCTGAGGGTGCAATCCATCCCATCATCCAGATCATTAATGACTTCCTAAAATGAGTCAGCTCTAGCCCTTTGTGGTGCAGTGTAGGAAAATTTGATTCTCCACCAAAGTTGACTGTCCAGAGGACAAAGAAAGTCAGCCCATGGCATTGTGGGATACATTGGGCAGACTCCCAGCGCATGAGTAGAATGGGGCTGTGGCTACACTGCAAAGCAATATGACTTGAATGTGGGGTCCCAGCTTGACTCAGGTTCAGACCCTCCATTCGCTTGGGGTCTTGGTATTCTGGGTCCGAGCCCTGGTTAGTGCAATTTGTGGGTAGATGGAAGGTGGGGTTAGGCTGGAGCCTGAGTTTGAACCCTGGGCTTACGTTGCAGTGTAGATATAGCTAATATTACAATAAGTCCTTCATTCCATCCATGATATCACTACCTGTGTAGTGCACTGTAAATACAAAGCTCTACAAGATAATGATCCCAAAGACTAATTTAAATGACTGGTAGCAAATAATAATAGTTGCCTGGTGCTTAATGGGTGACTTACCACTTCACTTTCTTGTGTGTTACTGAGGCCCTGGAGTGAGAATGGGAAGAGGTGTGCATAAGAGCAGTGGTCCCCAACCTTTTTTGTCTGGCAGGCGCCAGACAATGAGCCACGGAGGACCGTGGCGGCGGACGAGCATCCACCGAAATGCCGCCGACAAGCGGCAATGTCAATAGGCGTCGCCGCCGAAATGCCGCCGATTTTTGGCGGCATTTTGGCGGCAACACCTCTGGATGACGGCATTTCGGGGGCGATGCCTATTGACGTTGCCGCTTGTCGGCGGCATTTCGGCGGATGCTCGTCCACCAGCCAGTACGTGGGCGCACTTAGACGCCCCGGGGGGTGCCATGACACCCGCGGGCACCATGTTGGGGACTCCTGCATAAGAGGAAAGAGATACCTCTGGAGAATCATATTCAGTGGCTTCCCTTAGGCTGACATCTGCCCCAGGTGGGCTGAGATTTTTGTGATTTGGGAGCTTTTTAAAGCTATTTATTGTGCCAAATTCCACCTTGGGGACTGAACATATTTAATTCACTTCATGTTTTGAGACCTTAAGTGCCACAGAAATTAAAACTGGTTATTTGTTACTTTGTTTTCAGGATACTACTGATATTAAGCATCCATTTAATTGCTTTTGTGGATAAAATGTTATTTTTCCAACACTTCTGGAAAGATGGGAAGCGTCGCGGTGCGGGACTCACCGCTGCGGCACCTCCTGCTGGTTGTCTCAAGGAATTAGCGTTTCTAGCCTCTGGAGCGCCCTCTGCAGGCCGGTGTCCCGCTGTCGCTGGCCCCCCGTGTCCCTCCTAGGATCCCGTGCCCCTTGTCTTTGAGGTGCTGCCCCCTGGTAATACCCCCGCAGTCTCAGGGTCTCCCCACCCAGGGGAACCCCCAACCCTCTATCCCCACCTTGCCTCAGTCGTGAGCTACTGCCAGTCATCATCTAGCCCCTGCTCACTGGGGCAGACTGCAGTGTAAAATCCACTCATCATAGACAAGGGGGGTTTGGACCTGCTGCCTCTGCCTACCCGTGGGCTGCCCCCTGCAACCCCAGTACCTAATTGTCCTTCCACTAGACCACAGCCTGAGGGGGTTTCCAGGCTGGAGCACCCCAGCTCCCTTGGCCTTCCCCCAGCCCTTCCCCCTTGCTCCACTCCAGGTACCTTCTCTCAGCTCCCTGCAGCCAGGTCCCTCCCTCTCAAAGCTAGAGAGAGTCTGTCTCTGGCTTCTGGCCCCAGCCCTCTTATAAGGGCCAACTGGGCCCTCATTAAGCCAGCCTCGGCCTGATTGGGGCGTGGCCCCCAGCTAAGGCTGCTTTCCCCAATCAGCCCCACTTTTCCTTCCGTGCCACACCCCTCTCCCTGTACTGTTTTAAGCCTTTTAAGGCAGGAGCGGGTGACCACCCCACTAGAGGGAGCAATAGGTACTAGTGCACACATTAATAAACTGTAGTGCCACTAGAAAGCAGAGGTAGTGACTGAACTGCAGATGTATAGTTGGATCATGCTTTGATATCTTTCCCTAAAGTAAAATAAAATCAGTGTTTTACATCTGTATATGAACTCTTTTGAGCACTATTTCAAACTGTTGAAATATATCAGAAGGTTTAGTGAAGGAAAAAATCCCAGTTATTTACTTTGTCGGCCAGAAAAATATGAATTCTCATCACATAAGGATGTAGCTGAAATGGCTATTTTTAATGCCAGTTCATCTCCTTAACCTCACCTCTGATATTTAGTCAGTCATGGTCTTCTTTCATCATATGGTATTTTGTGCCTGTTTTAGGACCCAAAGCGACTTATTGTTGGCAAAGAGGTAACAGGAAGCAAAGCCATTGTTTAACTATAGTACTTTTTTTCCAGTCTGAAAGAATTCCTGCCTAAAGAATACATCAAACAAAGAGGAGCTGAAAAGAAAATATTTCAGGTAATTATGAGACTGAAAAACCTAATAGTCTCTTGTCTTTTGTAAGAGTAATAAGAGTTTGCTTTCCACAGCTCTGTAGTCTGTGCATGTCCTCTGCTTACATAATAAATTCTCACTAACTCAAGTGTAAAGATGCTGACAGCCTCTCTTTTCTTCCATTGGCATGTTTATTATCCTTTGTTGTTGTTGTTGTTGTTGAAGGTTATTCTCTTTTCAGTGCATGTTCAAAGTTCCTTAGACCTTTTACTCAAATATGTTGAACCATGAAGAAATGCATTGGCACTGAAATAGAAGCACACTTAGGGAGGTCAGTTTAATTTTATCCATAGAACTTTTTATGCCTTCGTAGCTCAAGCGTGAACTTCAAGCATTGTATACGACAGAGTTCTGTTGGCAAATGCTTGAATTCAGAGAGGTGGCTGGGAAGGATCAAATTGTTAATGACTGAAATGATCAAATACCCAACATGCTGATACTGCGGGAAACGTTTTATAGGATCTTGCACTCGTGTCAGTGTTGATTAATATATAAACCTGGCAACACGCAAGTATATGAGCAATTTTATCTAGTTTGGAAAATTCTGAAGTTAGCAGCTGATATATGGTTATTCACATCATGAAAGAAAATGGCAGTGACATATGATCTCAGCATGGAACATAATTTTAATTATGCACTGCTAGAGTTTGTCAAGTGCTGTCCTCTTCATCCCTCGCGCTCCCAGTCCAGGAATTCTTTAACTCATGAATTTGCTATAGGTGGAATTACTACTGCCACCTATAGTTGTGGTTGCCCAACCCTTTTCCAGACTGGATGTCAGCCACAGACTGAATTTTTTTTGCAATATTTCAGCAAAAAATGGCTCAGCCATTTCTGAGGATGAGATTAGGGGGAAATATGTTGTTTTGTCCATGTTAAAAATAATTGTTACAACAGATTTGTTGAGATGCTATAGCACCTACATACTTAGGAGCAAGGACTTGAAATTTGGCAGGGGGTTGTCTTGTTGTTAGGGTTGTGTCATTTAGCATCCGTGTGACAAGCAGTCCCAATTTGGCCAAGTTATAGGCTTCAGAAGAATTTCATTTTGAATGTTTTCAAGAGGCGTGTTGGAGTCAGTTTGGCAGCTAAGTTATCCAAATATTCAATCTGCACTGAGTGTGCTCCAGCCTCTCAGAGTTCCTGTGTGCCAGCTGGTCTATACATACACAGTCCCAACAATGCCAACTGACAGTGCTCCATCTTGGGGATACAGTGGCTCCTCCCAGCTACCACAGGCCATTGTGGTGCTGGTCACCAGATCAGAGAACAGAGTTCCCTATGCTCTTGATTCTCCCTCTGCTGGTGCCCAGTCAGAATGGAAGAGGATGGAGAAGAGGAGGAAACGGACTCACAGAAATGCAGAAGGAGATAACAGAAGGTGCGGGCAAGGCACAAAGGGAATATATTAAGGGAAGGCAGTGGCTGGGAGCAGGGGATGGATTGTGAGATGGGCTGAAATGAGGAGCTGAGAGGGAGAGGGCCAAGAGAAGAGGAGTGGGGGAGATTAGGATTGGTTGAGCAAAGGGACTGGGCCAAGAAGCTCTAGAGGAGTAACAATGAAGGTAATAGGGTAGTAATAGACCAGTAAGTCTTCCTTCAGTATCAGGCAACTTGGTTTAAATGATAGTTTAAAAAAGAATTCAAAACCTAGATGAACGTAATATCATTGGGATGAGCCAGCTTGGCTTCTGTATGGAACTCTATATTGGAGCTCCTTGAGCATGTCAACAAAGTACTGGATAAAGAGGAACCAGCTAACGTTATATTGGACTTTCAAAATGCCGTTGGGAAAGTCTCTTACAAGAGGCTATTAGGGAAACTAAGTAGTCATGAGGTAAGTGGTAAAGGACTCTTATGAGTAAGAAACTGGCCAAGAGACGAAGCATAGAAATAAATGCTCCATTTTCAACAAGCTGAAGGCTGAAGTGCCGCTAGGTGAATGGATATCACAGTGACTAAAACTTAGTTGTGTTGAATGTAATGCAATGTATTTTGGAACCAATATTGAACTATTAATATTTGAGTACTTCTAAATAAATTGTAACCACTAGGAAACAGATGTCTGTCTCGTTGTGGACAGGTTAAAAATCCCTTTTCAATGTACAGTGGCTGTCCAAAAAAAAACAAAAACAAAAAGTTAAAATGTGCAAAAATAGGATGTATAATGGCATAACTTTAGTGTATAAATCAGGCTATGGCCTCACATGGAAAGTTGTATTAATCTCCAGTGGCAATATCTAAAAAGAGATACAACACAGAGAGAGGGGTTCAGAGGCAAGTATCAAAATGATTAGGGACGTGGAAAAACCCTGCAGAGAAATAAATTATTGGGCCTGTTTACCTCGGGGGATGTGGGGGGGGAAGGTGATGATATACAAAATAATGGATAGTATAGTGAAGGTAGATCAATGAAAATGACAGGTGTCAAGTTTATAACTAGTAAGGAAGTGCTGTGTTGCACAACTATCATATGGCATTAAATTTTACAGCCTATCATGGGCTAAGTGTAGCAAGATTTTTAAAAGATTGGTCATTTGTGTGGATGCTGGGAATCTCCAGAGTGGCTTTATGTAAGATCTGAAATTTTTTTGAAGGGATATTAAACTTCCATGATTTGAGGGATAAACATAACTGGTGATGATTAGGCAGAAATTCCCCTTTGGGCAGCTTGTTCCATAATTCTTTGTGTCAGAAAATTTGAATATATAACCTTGCTAACATTTCAGCCCAGCAATGTTTTGATTTAATTAGTTGCACAATTAAAAGGCAGCCCTGATCAGTTAAAAGCTCCTTTCATAGTTTCCTGTGAGCATTATTTCTATTCAGTCTAAGTTATACAAAGTAAAACTGAGCTCTTGTTCTAGGAACACAAGAACTGTGGAGAGATGACTGAAATTGAAGCCAAAGTGAAGTATGTGAAGCTAGCACGCTCCCTCAGGACATACGGAGTGTCCTTTTTTCTTGTTAAGGTAAGTTCGGATTATGCTGGCAACAGATGTGCTTGATTATGTATTACCCCAGACCACTTTCTGAAAGCAAAGTTTGCATATCCAAGGTTTGAGCCTGTAGGACAGCCTTTTCCACTAAAAAGAGAGCTCACTGAATTGTATTGTGGTAGCACAGCAATCAGATCAGGGCTCCATTGTGCTAGATTCAATTGGCAGGGTCAAAGGCAGCCTTTCTCAGGCTTTGACTTTTTTTAATTGACCTACCAAAATATTTTCCCCTCAAAACATTTAGAAAAACACCACAAGTCTGCTTTCCCCAGCTTGGGTGTTAGAGGTTTACCTGAATGTGCATATTGAAATCTCTGCATCTTACAAGAACCATATTCTCAATTGTGCAGTTATTTTCTCTTACACTTCATACAGCTATCACCTTAAGGACTTGAATTTTCTTCATTTAAAATCACAGTAATTTTATAATTGGGAGAAGATGACTAAATCATGACTTGGCAGATATAGAATTGTTTTGCTGCTGCTAAACAAGACTTGAATCATTGCTTGATCAGTGTTCTCTCAATGAGGTGGTCCAGGTAAGAAGAGAACTGCAATCTAGATTTTCCATCCTTGGCTCCCAAAATTAGGATTCTAAATCCATCAAGTGGCCTGATTTTTTGAAATGCTGAGCACCTACAAATTCCACTTAAGCTGATGGAACATTCAGGTGCTCTGCAGAAAGTGAAATGGATGATAACTTTCTAAAAGCTTGACAGCATTAATTAGCTTTTGCTCCTTTAAGTAGAAGTGACTGTCATATTAGGTACCTTTTATGGAGACCTATTAAAGTAGAATCTCATCTGAGATTGTTGTTTTCAGACATCATAGGCCAGAATTAATTTATCCAGTGGAGAGACTATATGGTGTGCATTTGGCATCTTCCCAGGGATGCCTATTACATGCTTATTTGATTTTGCTCTCTGTATGTATTTATTCCATTTTCCTAAATTCATTTTCTTTTCTTGCAAAACCTAAATACTTCATTACTGTTCAGTGCATTAAATTATTTTGCAAGTGAGTTAAGTGGCTTCCAATATAGGGATTTATGAATGGAGAACTAAATGGTTCTTCAGGATCGTAAGTACTGAAATTTAATTTGGGCATAAATTTTAAAAGAAAAAAATGCTCTAATTATTTAGAAAGCACAATAAGCTAGTGATGGTTTCACACTGGTTTCATCAGCTAATCATGAAGTTGTATATTAGAAGCTATCCTGAAAATATGTCTGCAATTTTAACTAAAATATTAAAACTATACAAGCATGCACATTCACAGCAAACAATCAAGTTGAGAATTCAGTCCAATTTTTCAGCGATGACTAACTGGATCATTGGGCTGATGATAGAAATACTTACCCTTGCATTTTCATGGATGCGTCAATTTGACTCCATGATTTTCCTTGTAGCTTGAAGCAAATAGTAACTGAATCATTCTGTAACTATGGCATAGAACTTCAGTCTGAAAGAAGTGTGTGAGAGGAAGGTGGAATAATTTGAAGTCCAGGTCTGATGTCTAACAAAGGACGTAGGATGTAAATAGGAGTTGATTCTCTGTAGCCCATGACATAAAATAAATTCAAGGGGAGCAGAACATATGGACTCATTTGCATTTCATGATAGATTTTTTTGTTGCACAGTAAATTGGTATCTGGTCCTTGCTCTGTGGACTTAAAGTGCTAGAGAGGCAGTATACTCAGACCTTGAGAGACGGCACCTGTCAGCCTAGAGAGAACCCCTCATAGTGATGCTGACATGGGTGAAGTTGTTTGTTTTACTAACCATTTAAATGTTTTAGAGCTATGATGTATAATAAATGGGGCTGACTTTGCCTCCTGTAAACCTCAGAATCCTTAATCTGTGTTGCTCCCTGCTGAATCTTCATTCTCTTCATAAAACACTACCAGAAATTCTACAGGGAGAAGTCTTTGGAAGCTAATTTACAGTAGATTGCCTAACATGCCTTAGTTTTTCTGGGTGGGAGTTGGTCATTGAACAAAGTATCAGAGGGATAGCTGTGTTATTCTGTGTCCACAAAAACAATGAGGAGTCCAGTGGCATCTTAAAGACCAACAGATTTATTTGGGCATAAGATTTCATGGGTAAAAAACCCACTTCTTCAGATGCAACTGAAGAAGTGGGTTTTTACCCACAAAAGCTTATGCCCAAATAAATCTGTTAGTCTTTAAGGTGCCACCGGTCATTGAAGTGTCATGTAAACCGTTTCCAATGTAATTTTTAAATTGGAAAGCTAGTTTACAAAAATATCACTACCAAGGTAGTTGAAAGAAACTTTCAAAGACTTGGATTGTAAAATGCCTTTTTATGTGAAGGGAGGTTTCTTCTCCGCACCACAAGCGGTTACTTGTGCTGAATTGCACAGTGAAGGTCAGTTGCAGTTTAATGTCTTCAAGCTGTACCAGATTAAGGGTGAAGACAGATTCTCAAGACCCAAATAAAGCTTTGAACATGAGTAGAATTTTGGTATGAAATCTCTTGGCTCACATCTCTTTCCAAGTTATGCTAAGTGCGATATCTGCATCTAAGAAGCAAAGTAGGATAGATATGGACCACGTAGAAGGAAGTTGTAATGAAAATCAAGCAATAGCTTAGAGCGTGATGCTCCATTGTTCTGTAGCTTGGATAGTCACTTCAATCAGTAAAAGTGACTGCAAGTTGCTACCAAACCACAAGAGCAGTGATAGTCACATCACACCAGTGTAAATGACTGCACAAGGTGTGGGGCATTGGAGAATGAAGCCATAGTGTAAAAGTCACTGGAGATGTGTATCCTATCACTTAATTCTGGTGTGTGTTCAAAGTTGTCTTTTTAAGAGGATAACTCTGGACTGAGTCCCTCTGAGCATTTAATTAACCATGTTGTAGGTAAGATGAAAAAAAGACAGTGAATTCTTGAGGCTCTGAATACAACACAGTGTTTTGAAAATGAATGAAAAAACACTTCTAGCAGTGTGTCAACATTAAATTAATCTATGCACTTGCCATGTCCAGAGAAACTGAGTTTGGGCCTGTGAATTGTCCTCTGCAGTGCGTCTAGTTCTTCTTTTATGTAAGTGTAACCAGTCACGGTCATTCCCAGTCTACTTCCTCCTTTCCCCTCTGACATATGCCAGTTGGTAAATGAAAACTAATCCTTGATACTTCTGTTACAGGAAAAAATGAAGGGCAAAAACAAGCTGGTTCCTCGTTTGCTGGGTATCACCAAAGACTCAGTGATGCGTGTGGATGAGAAGACCAAGGAGGTGTTGCAGGAATGGCCACTGACAACTGTGAAGCGCTGGGCTGCCTCTCCAAAAAGCTTCACTCTGGTACTCTTTCTGTATGTTGTTACAGAGAAGGAGGGTTCTGTCTGTCATGGGGAAAGGAGCATGGATTGATGCACTAAATTGATTGGCCCTATAGGGTTTAGTTTAGTTTAGTCCTGAAGAAACAACTCGGCCAATTTTCTTATGGCCAACAAACTGTCTCATGTACATAACCCGACCCTGATTATCTAAAGCACTGTTTTAAAGAGCCATCTGCCTGATATCTGCTAATTTTGGTTGTGAATAATCAAGGTTTTCAGAGTGCAGTATAAAAGTGACAGACAGGCTGTGAAACTAAATAGGGCTAAAGAAAATGCCTCACAGTTTGAGACTTAAAGAGCTCAATTTGTTTAGCTTATCAAAAAGATGATTGAGAAATGACTTGATGATGGTGTGTAAGTACCTTCATGGAGAGAAGGTGCTGGTGGCTCTTCAGTTAGTGCAGGAGTTCTCAACATTTTTCTTTCTGAGCCTCTCCCTCTCTCCCCCCCCCAGCATGGTATAAACACTCTACAGCCCACCTGTGCCACAACAACTGGTTTTCTACATAAAAGCCAGGGCCAGCACTAGGGGGTAGCAAGCAGGGCAATTGCCCGGGGCCCTGTGAAGCTACATTGCTCAGGCTTCAGGTTCCACCCCAGATGGCAGGGCTCAGAGCCTTGAGCTTCAGCCCCATGCAGTGGGGCTTTGGCTTTCTGCCCTGTGCCCCAGGCAGAAAGCTGAAGCCCCACTGCATGGCCCTGCTTGATGGACCCCCTGAAACCTGCTTGCAGCCCCCCTTCCCCCCCCCCCCTCCCAGTCTCCCGGGGACCTCAGACCCTGGTTGAGAACCAATGGCTGGAAGTTAATTCAGACAAGATTAAATTAGAAATAAGGCAAACATTTTTAAGAGAGGGTAAGTAACCATTGGACCAAACTGCCAAGGAATGTGGTAGATTTTCTGTGTCTTGAAGTCTTCAGATCAAGACTGGATGCCTTTCTGGAAGAAAAGATTTAGTCAAACACAAGTTAACAGGCATAGTGCAAGGGTATTGGGTGAAATTCTGTGGCCTGTGTTACATGTAGAAGGTCAGAGTATATGATTTAATGGTCCATTCTGGCCTTAAAATCCATAAATGTATGAAATGGATCCAATCGAAAGAGCTTTTTTTCTCTCACATAGTTTATTGTGGAGCCTTGGAATGGTTTTATCTGCCATAAGAGCCGTTAGCTATAATAAGACATCAAAGGTAAAAGGAAATTTCAGCTACTTTTATTGGGTTTTGGCTTTGGTGTAGACTCTGATCCTTATATGGTAGATATGAGCTTGTTGGATTAAATGCAAAGAAAGTTAAAAATGTATTTCCCTATATCTCTAATTTTGGTCATCTTAATATAGCTGATGTTCATTTATTTAAATTCATTCCCAAGGGTGAACTGATTGTTATACCTTTTTTCCTCAGGATTTTGGTGAATATCAAGAAAGTTACTACTCAGTACAAACCACTGAAGGAGAACAGATCTCTCAGCTAATTGCAGGTTACATTGATATCATATTGAAGAAGGTAAAACTTTAGGATGTCAGTAAAAGTGCAGTAAAATTAGTAAATGCAATGTCTCTCTCACAAAAGATAGGTTACCTGATAGCAATAGCTCGCTTTCTTTTGTGAAGCTAACTAGGTATAATTTTTCTTTGCTGTGACTGGCTTGTAGCAAGAACTCCTAGAAAATAGTTCTGATTAATTACTATAAAAAAGTGTTTATGGAAGTAATATTGAAACTATTAGCTGTATTGAGGGAATGGGTTAGAAGACTTAACTCAGCATGCTTGGGCATTTAAGTGGATAATCTTCTGGAAAGCAGCTACATGTCAGTGGGCTTATATCAAGAGATTAATGGCCTAAAGCTTTCTCCTTAACTGTAGAGAATAAACCATATAACTATAGTAGTTACCAACAAAAGTTAGCATTTGCCAACAAATGCCACATGATTACTAGTTGTGTTCTAAGCACTTTCTGTGGGAAACCTGTGGCATCTTAACTACTTTTACGTGCTTGCTGTTGACAAATTTTATTAGGATTAGACCAAACTGCAACATAATCCATTATAAATATATGTTCATGCCAGAGAAGTGACAGACAACTGGAAATTTCAGTAGGATTGAGGATTTTTGTTTAGGGGAACTCCAGGCCTAGAATATCAGGGGTGTTTCAGTTTGGGGCTGGGGTGGATTGCCAGTATTCATCACAACTCTCTTTCTAAGACTGGCTCAAGCCAGCATTGTCAGTTCCAAATTTAATGAGCACTAAATATGTTCAAATTTTAGTTTAAGTAGAAACTTGCGTTCTTCTTCGAGTGATTGCTTATGTCCATTCAACTGAGGTATGTGTGCTTGCCACATGCACCAGTGCCAGAGATCTTTCCCTCAGCAGGAGACTGGCTCTGGCGCCCCTGGAGTGGGGTGCGTGTGCCACGGCATATAGGGCACTGCTGGCCCCCTCCACCCTCAGATCCTTCTTGCCGACAGTGACGGTGCATGGAAGTGTTGCTGCTTCAGCTAGCACTGTTGCTTCTCATTCGTTCGAACTCATTTAACTCTTGTATATTATTGTATATAGTTTCCCTCTAGTTTTAGTTTCCCTATTTGTTTGTTAGAGACTTAGTAGGTCCCAAACAGGACTTCGCCTCAGGATGGGGCATGCCCCAGACCCCACGCTTTGAGCCCTGTGATCATTGTAAAAGCGATCCACATAACAGTTGTTTACAGTGTTTAGGCGAAGGGCACATTAGGGATAAGTGCAGAATCTGCAAGTCCTTCAAGCCCAGGATGAAGAACGAGTGTGACATTCGCTTGAGAGTGCTCCTTATGGAGTCTGCCCTTACCCCGATGCCGGAGCAGCGCTCTGATTCGGTGCCGAGCACTGTGAGCTTGGTGCACGGCGCTCCGCCAGTACCATCTGCAAGCCAGCACCAGTCCTCTTCCATGGCTCCAGCCAAGAAGCCCAACAAGACGGGGCGAGGAAGGTCTCCAGCTTCCTGCAAGGGAAAGGACAAGTCTTGGGTGGACTAAGGTCCTGTCTTGGGCACCTCTTCACCCCCTTCGGAATCTCGGGTCCCAGGTCAGCAGTGTAGCCCAGCCTGCTCCCCGCCAGTTCCAGGTGTTGTCCATGCTGGAGGCCCTGCAAGCAGCGCAAGACTTTATGTCCCTCCAAGTGCTGCCCACTCCGGCCCCTGCGGGGTCCTGGTCATAGGGTAAACCTGTGTTTGGACCACCAGAGTCTCCACCTCTACGGCAATGGTCTCCGTCATGGGGGACGTCCTGCCAACGGTCGCCCTTGCGCATCTGAAACACTTCTGACCGTGATAGGCAGAAGCTTCACAGCCCCATCCAGTGTCCGGACCTCGGACAAAGGCAGAGAGGCTCGAGGCACGGCTCGCCGGTAACTGGGCACAAATCTCTGGAGGCATGTGACCTCCCTCCCCTCAGCAGGAGTTTCAGAGTCGGCGCCTGGAATTTCCATGGTACCGGTATCGCTGCAGGGACAGGTTGAGGGACCGATGGTACCGTTCTCCAGACCATCGCGAATCCCCAGCGCGGCATCACCGCATGCAGTTACATCTTCACGACGCCAAGCCTGCTCTGGTTCCTAGTCCCGCTCATCAAGCATGAGGTGCAGATCGCTGGCCCGGGGCCATTGCGGATCCACCGAGCACCACCGGTCACTGAGGCCCCAATCCAGGCACTCGTCGAGGTCAGCCAGATCCAACTCCAGGAGGAGCGACTAGTACTGATTGGGACAGAGCCACCACTTAGTCCCATCTTGGTCGCAGGGGAGCAACCGCTTGGGCTCTAGCTCGGGTTTAGAGTGAGGTTCCCTACCTGCAGGACAAGCTCTGATACCTACAGGGCAGATTACGTCGATGGCACCACAGCCAGCCCCGTGGCCAGCACAGTGGTACCCATGGAACCCATGGGGGTTCACTCAGCCCTCCCAGGCAGCCTGCTCAGTATCTGGACCTTTGGAGAGACTGGCTCCCGCCCTCTCCAGCTTTCCTCCGGTTCAAGAGGCCTCAGCTGCAGGCACCCCGCAGGCACAGGAGGAAGTGGGTGAACAAGCTGCTGGACCACCTCTGGTTGCAGAGGACCCCTTGGTACCAGCTTTCTCCTTGTCATCACCAGATGAGGCTATAGTGGGGCCCCCTCCACCGGTTCCCCAGGATGATGCGAAGGCACATCAGGGGCTGTTAAAGAAGGTCGCTGCCAACCTGGGCCTCCAGGCGGAGGAGTTAGAGGAGCTCACAGACTCCGTCTTTGATGTTCTCTGTCCTGTAGCTCTGGCCAGGATAGCCTTGCCCATACATGAGGGGGTCATGAAAATTACAAGTGCCCTCTGACAAACCCCCTCCTCCTTGCCTCTGATCTCCAAGTGGGCCATCCAAGGGTCACGAGTACCTTTATACCCACCCTGCTCCCAATTCCCTAGTGGCAGAGGCGATCTGCAACCACAGAGAGAGACAAGGTGAACTGGGGGCTACCCCTAAGAATAAAGGCTGAAGGAGACTAGACTCGTTTGGGCGTAAAGTTTATTTGTCCTCCACTCTACAGTTGCATGTGGCCAACCATCAGGCCCTCCTAGGCTGCTATGATTTTAATATGTGGCAGGCCATGACCAAGTTCAAGAGCGCCCTTACCGAGGCCTCGAGGAAGGAGTTCCGGGTCATCCTGGATGAGGGCTCAACTGCGGCTGGACACTGCTGCCCATACCATGGTATCGGCCATCTCATTGCACAGGGCTTCTTGGCTCCTCTCTCTGGTCTTTCCTCAGAGGCTCAGCAGTCAGTGCAAGACCTCCCTTTCGATGGGCACGCCCTGTTCATAGAACAGACAGACAACAAACTCCATGTCCTGAAAGATTCCCGCTTGACCCTACAAATACTGGGCCTTACGTCCCCGGCCCTTCCCGCAAGTGGTTTTAGCCGCAGCAGCTTCAGAACAAGGGGAGCCACTCTCTCCAGGAGCCTCACTATAAAAAAAATCCAGGGGCTGCAAGAGGCACCATGGGCTGGCAACTGTCTTCTCCCAGTCCAGGTGCCACCTGGAAAAGGTTGTCACCATTCCCGCAACGATACTCACCTCACTCCAATGGTGGTCCGACCCTGGGAATGTCCTGGAAGGAGTCCCCTTCGACAGCACGCCCTACTCGGTTGAGTTGGTCTCGGACGCCTCGGATCTTGGTTGGGGAGTGCACTTCGGCGATCTCCAGACCCAGGGTACGTGGTCCCTGGAAGAGATGACATTACACATAAACGTCAAAGAGCTCAGGGCGGTCCGCAGGGCATGCGCGGTCTTCCTACCTCACCTGTTGGGCAGAGTGGTCAGAGTCTTGATGGACAACACAGCCTCAATGTTCTACGTCAACAGACAAGGGGGAGTGCGATCCTCAGCCCTATGCCAAGAGGCACTCCGTCTTTGGGACTTCTGCATCGACCACGGAATCCATCTAGAAGTGTGTCACCTCCGGGGAGTCCACGTTAGTGGATCATCTAAACAGGGACTTCTCCTCTCACCACAAGTGGGCGCTCCACCCAGAGAGAGCCTGCATGATCTTCCAGAGGTGGGGATCTCCCCAAGTGGATCTGTTCGCCACCAGGCAGAACAGGAAGTTCTGAAGCCACTGCTGCTCCAGATGGGCTCTGGGCAAGGGCTTCCTCTCTGATGCCTTCCTCCTGTCCTGGGCGGGAAGCCTGATATACGCGTTTCCCCCTCCCCCCCCCCCCCCGATCCCACTCGTCAGCAGGGTCCTGGTGAAAGTCAAGAGAATCAAGGCCCAAGTTATCATGATTGCCCCAGTCCCCCTGTGGCCCCTGCTGGACTGACCAGACCTGCTGTCACAGGACCACGGTTGCCTCTTGCCACCCCAACCTCGCATCTGTCCACCTCGCGGTGTGGATGCTGTGTGGCTGAACCCTGAAGAACGAACCTGTTCAGAGGGGGTCCGGCAGGTCCTCCTGGAGAGTAGAAAATCCTCAACTAGACAGACCTATCTGGGAAAGTGGATGAGGTTTTCCCACTGGGTGACCGAACCGGGCGTCTCCACTTTGCATTTTTTGTGCAGTCGATCTTAGACTACCTGCTTCATTTGAGGAACCAGGGCCTGGCACACTCCTCTATCAAGGTACATCTGGTGGCCATTTCCGCCTTTCATCTGCCCATCCAGGGGCAGATGGTGTTCTCCCATGACATGATGGTCAGGTTCCTGAGAGGTCTCGAGAGACTTTTTTTCCTCAAGTTCGGTCCCCAATCCCTCACTGGGATCTCAACTTGGTTCTGTCCAGGCTCACGGGCCCGCCCTTTAAGCCTCGTGCTCCGCATCTCACCTATCATGGAAGGTAGCTTTCCTGGTGGCAGTGACATCAACAAGGTGACTTTCCAAGCTCCGAGCCTTGATCTCAGAACCACCGTACACAGTCTTCTATAAGGACAAGTTCCAGCTCCGGCCCCACACGGCCTTCCTTCCCAAGGTGTTTACTTTCCACATGTGCCAGGACATCTTCCTTCCAGTCTTCTGCCCTAAGCCCCATGAGACTAGTGAAGAGAGGCGCCTTCACGCTTTGGACATAAGAAGGGCTCTGGCTTTCTATCTAGATTGGACAAAGTCTTTCCATAGGTCAACTGAGCTTTTCATCTCTACAGCTGATAGGATGAAAGGCCTCCCGGTGTCCACCAGAGGATTTCTAACTGGATTACCTCTTGCATAAGGACTTCTTACAAGCTGGCGGGTGCCCCGCCGCCACTTGTCATAGCCCACTCGACTAGAGCGCAGGCATCCTCAACGGCCTTCCTGGCACACGTTCCGATCCAGCACATCTGTAAAGCTGTGACGTGGTCCTCAGTACACACATTCACAGCCCACTATGCCATCACGCAGCAGACCAAGGACGGTACTGGGTTCAGCAGAGCTGTGTTGCAATCTACATGTCTGCCTCCATGGGTACTGCTTGGAGTCACCGAAGTTGAATGGACATGAGCAATCACTTGAAGAAGAAAAAACAGTTACCTTCTTCCGTAACTGGTATTCTTCGAGATGTGTTATTCATGTCCATTCAACGACTCGCCCTCCTTCCCCACTGTCGGAGTTTCTGGCAAGAAGGAACTGAGGGTGGAGGGGGCTGGTGATGCTCCACTCCAGGGTGCGCCAGAGCAGGTCCCCTAAGGATACTGCTGAGAGAAAAACTTCCGGTACCACTGCATGTGGTGAGAAAACACACCTAAGTTGAATGGACATGAGCAACACATCTTGAAGAACACCAGTTATGGGAAAAGGTAATTGTCTTTTTGAACTGCTCTAAGTTTTACAAGTAGAATTCCAAGCTAAGGCAGCTTCTCTGTATATACTGAGGCCTGGTCCCCACTTAGTCCGGACTTCGGACTAAGGTACGCAAATTCAGCTACGTTAATAACGTAGCTGAATTCGAAGTACCTTAGTCCGAACTTACCGCGGTCCAGATGCGGCCGGAAGTCTCCCCCCGTCGACGCCGCGTACTCCTCTCGGCGAGCTGGAGTACCGGCGCCGACTGTGAGCACTTCCGGGATCGATCCGGGATCGATTTATCGCGTCTTAACCAGATGCGATAAATCGATCCCAGAACATCGATGGCGTGCCGCCGGACCAGCCGGTAAGTGAAGACTAGGCCTGAGAGTGTACAGATGTGCAGATTTCGACTCCCAAACCAGTCCTTTGATTTCTTCTTTAAAATCTGCTCACACAACCAGCTTCTAAATGAGTGAAATAGGAATAGGTTAACAAACTAACTCCCATTCTGTGTCATGACTCAAATGAGAAACATGCTGTTTCTAGTTGTCAAGCTTGAGTTCTGTCTCTACCACATTTGTTTATCACCTACAGTCATATAGAAATCTTGTAATGTCAATTCTCAGGGAATCTTTAATGACCTATTCTGGTGTAGATTTTCTACCACAACTTCCCCTTGTTATACCATATGCTTGGGTCTGATGTCACAGTGAGGGCCAGAAAAGAATTTTATCCCTGCAACTTGTCAGTGGTAGATGATTGGAAACCCAGCAACTTGAGGTGCTCTTCTTTTTTTCTTTTTTTTCTTTTCTTTTTTTTATAAACTGTCCCTTACACTAATAGCAAAATAAGAATGTTGAAGTTTCAAAGAATCTTGGCTCTAAAAATGAATGGCCTGTTTCAACTCACACCTAAAATCAAATTGAAATGAAACAGGGTTTGTTCATGGGTAAAGAAGAGGGTTCCCATTAAACTACCTCCAGAGACATAGCTATCTCTTTTGTCTTTGCCTCAGTATAATGACTGTTACAAGGCTAAGGATGTTGTAGCAATCCATTTCTGACACAGCATTTCTTCCACAACGTACCATGCCTCTCTGCGGTCACTTGCTTATGAGGAATATCTCAATTCACACCCTAATTTAACTCCCCTGTGCACATCTACCTCCCTTACATTATTGTAAATAATTCACATTAGAAATGAACATTTCTGAAAGTAGGTTTCTAGAAAATAATGATAAAGAAATGAATCTGGCACCATGTAACACTTGGCATGTTACTTTTCTTGTGGTGGTCATTTGTGTCCATTAATCATATATTGGTTCACATATGGGTGCTTTTGAATACAAGATACCTTGTAGCAGAGTTGTATGCACCAGTTCCTGTGAGCTATATGAGCTGTTGTGGCTTCCCATTTGCTGCTGCATGGAAGATACCTGTGCTGCTGAGTCACATTGAGGGAGTTGGTAGGAGGCACCACTGTCCATCTGAGCTTGGTGGTATTAAGCCTCTATGAAACTATGTACTATATAGTAGGTGGTGCTGATTTCTGGGAGGGGCAAGTGCTTTGTCTTATTCAGAAACAAGGCCTGCTAGCACTACTATCCATGTTAGTCTTCTCCCTTTATGCACCTTAAATCCACGAGTGCTGGGACCCAGACTGTTTTTCCCTATCCAGGTGCTCTGGATACTGAAGTTCCTTGTGACCTTTCTCCTGTCTGCTGCACCCACGACGTGGAGTTGTATCCTATCACAAAGTGCCTGCTCACATATAAGAGTACCAAAAAATCCTGGTGTAGCACTAGCGCAAGAGAGAGAGCATGCAGATGACTTGACACAATTTGTGTAAAATAGTGACAAAATAAAGGTAGAGGAGTTTAAAAAATGAAATGAAATAGAAATGCCACATAAGTGTTGACGTTTGCTTTTTTTCAGAAACAAAGTAAGGATAGATTTGGGCTTGAAGGTGATGAGGAATCAACAATGTTGGAAGAATCTGTGTCGCCTAAGAAGTGAGTTTGTGCAATGGGAAAAATGGCTCTTTCCGTAAGAGTGAAACGTTTAATAAGTAGTGGGTAGTTTTCTTTGATCCCAAATATGGTTTAATATATTTCTGTCCAGAAGAATTACTTCTCTGTTAAATTACCCTGCAGTTAACAACTCTGTCTCCATGCCGTTCTGCAGAGTTAAGCTTTGTTGTGAAGTCTCCTGTTTTGTCCTAAGACTATTATTTGGTGTAAAGTATGTACAGTAGTGGTGATTTGAACCACAAACTACAGAACTGAGACTAACTCAGTAGCAATCTGTATGCAGAGTTGTAAAAATTGAATTAGTAGAAGGTTGTGTTTCGGTTTGTGAATATATACTTGCTTTTGATAGCTTACATTTGCTAAATTGATGGCTTTAATTGGGGTTTGCATGCAGTATTGTTCTGTGACTGTCATTAGCAGAGTTTGGTTTAATATGGGGAAAATATCATTAATTTCAGATGCTGTTAAAGACAAGGGGGAGGCTTTGGCTCACAGTGCAGCACAAATTAATGGGCTCTGGGATTTCATTGCGGGGAGAGAGTGGATTATACAGGGTTATGAAAAGAGTCAAGTGTGGGATCCTGGAAATGGCGCTTCACTTGAAAAGGAATATTCAGTTGGCTTTCTGCTGTTAAGTAACCGAAACAGTTTCAGCACAATGTGAGCTATAATGAGGCCTAACTTAAGCCTCTTCTTTGAACTCAAAGGGAAAGGAGGGTAGTGTCTCTACAGTGTGTAAAGGTCTGACTGTGATTTATGTTATACATATTGCTTACAGGAAATGAATTGGTTAGATCTTTTATGTGGCCTTACATGAATTTTTAGCTTTAGCGTACTGTACATGTTTTCACGTGCTTCCTTTTCACACTTCCCGTTCCAAATGGCTTCCAGAATGTATCCTATCAGTGTAAACGCTCTATTTAGAAGCTCAAAACTTGTAACAAAAGAATTGCTTGGACAATGTTAATCTGTAACTGAAATTACACCAATTTTTTTCCGAGCACGTTGTTGCTCTTTAAATCAAAAATTATGCCAACACCTCCAACTGTTGGAGCTTAGACTATACTTAATATGAGCAGTACATCTGGCAAAGTGATCATTCCCATAATTAATGATAACTTATTGTAGTCTTGGTCTTATCCCATTATTTGATAGACTACTAAATTACTATCAGGGGCCAAATGTAAATACATACAGTTTGGAAGAAGGGGTAAAAATTTTATTCCAACTCTAAGGAGTGCTTGGAAAATTTATCTCCAGAACATTCAGCTTCGTATAGTTGATAGTCCTACTTTGGCATAGTTGAAGCAAAACTGTGAGATCCTTCTTTCAGGAACACAGCATCCAGTGTCCACTAGTTATCTTTGTGAGATGAGGGAGGTCATAACAATAAATACAGCCAGGTCACACATTCCATTCTTCCTTCACCACCTGTTCAGGTAGCAGCATTACTGGTAACTGGTTTGTCAGATACTGAAGATGTAGCAAACTTACACTGTAAGCACCTGGCACAATGCGGTCCTGCTATATGACTATGTCTTTGGTAATACAAATAATTTGTAAAATGGTTGGATGAAAGAACACATTGACTAGAATTTAAGCAGTTCACCCAATTTAAACACCCTTGCTTAAAAACTGAAAGGGAAGGATGGCAGCCAGGAATTAGTTTACAGGAGCTCATAGAGTCACAGAGTTTAAGGCCAGAAGGGACCTCTGGATCATCTACTCTGGCCTTGTGTATATCACTGACCATCAACCACACCCAGCACCCATACACTAAACCCAACAATGGAAATGAGACCAAAGTAAATGAGCCCCATGGGATATTAGACTATCACGTGCCCACAAGCAGAGAATAGGCAGGACCAAGGGGCATCAGTCCTCAAAGCCTCTGCAATGACAGGGAAATTATTACATGAGATACACCCAGATAATCCTGCTAAGTGACTCCACTCACCCACTGCAGAGAGAGGCGAAACCCCCCCAAAGGTCACTACTAATCTGAGCTAGGGAAAATTCCTTCCCGGCCTCACATATGGCTATCAGTTAAATCCTGAGCATGTGAACAAGAACCAGCCAGATTAACACCTGAGAGAGAGAATGCTCGGTGCCACCTAAGAGCCCTGGCCACTGTCCCATGTCCAGCTGTGGCCATCTCTGATGCTTCAGAGGTAGGAAATGGGGGTGGGGGAGGAGAACCCATCCAAAATACATTGAGGGTGATATCCCTTCCTGACCCCCTGCAGGTGACTAGCTGAAACCCTGAAGCATGAGTTTTAGGAACATAAGACATATCAGAAGTCACAAGCAACCTCATCATACAACTGTGCTCATAAGTTTGTCCAGCTAATTCAGTTGTTTGACCCACAACTCCTATTGAGAGGCTGTTCCAGAACCTCTCACTTCTGATGGTTAGAAATATTCTTCTAATTTCCAGCTTGAATTTGTTTATGGCCAGTTTATATCCATTTGTTCTTGTGCCAACTTTCTCCTTTTGCTTACATAGCTCTTCACCCTCTCTGGTATTTATCCCCAATATGTTTATAGAGAGCAATCATATCCATTCTCAGTCTTCTTTTTGCGAGACTAAGCAGGCCCAGCTCTTCCAGTTTCCGAGAGACCCTCAATTCCCTGATCATCCTAGTAGCTCTTCTCTGCACCTGTTCCAGTTGAAATTAATCTTTCTTGAACATGGGTGACCAGCACTGTACACAGTATTCCAGATGAGGGCTTACCAGTGCCTTGTATAACAGCATTAATACTTTTCTGTCTGTACTGGAAAAGTCTTGTGTAATACATCGTAAGATCACATTTGTCTCTTTTACAGCCGCATCACATTGGTGGCTAGCGGTCATCCTGTGATTGATCCACACACACAGGCCTCTCTCCTCCTCTGTCTCGCCAACTGATAAGCCCCCCAAAATTCCTATTATTAGACCCTAGGTGCATTACCTTGCCCTTTATACTATTGAATTTTCTCCCATTTCTGTCACTCCAGTCTTCGGGTCATCCAGATCTTCCTGTATAATATTTAAATTCTCCTCTGTATGGACGATGCCTCCCAACTTATTATTTCAGCTCAGTACTAATGTGGACACGAGAACGAATGGATATAAACTGGCCGTTGGGAAGTTTAGGCTTGAAATTAGACGAAGGTTTCTAACCATCAGAGGGGTGAAGTTTTGGAACAGCCTTCCGAGGGAAACAGTGGGGGCGAAAGACCTCTCTGGCTTTAAGATTAAGCTTGATAAGTTTATGGAGGGGATGGTTTGATGGGATAAAGTGATTTTAGTCAATAGGTCAATAATGTGCCATTGCTGGTAATTAGCAACAATGGTCAATGATGGGATATTAAAAGTTACTACAGAGAACTTTTTCCAGAGGGTCTGGCTAGAGAATCTTGCCCGCATGCTCGGGGTTCAGCTGATCGCCATATTTGGGGTCGGAAAGGAATTTTCCTCCAGGGTAGATTGGCAGAGGCCCTGGAGGTTTTTCGCCTTCCTCCACAGCATGGGGCAGGGGTCGCTTGCTGGAGGATTCTCAGAGATTTGAAGTCTTTAAATCATGATTTAGGGACTTCAACAGCTGAGTCAAGGGAGAGAATTCTTCCGGGAGTGGGTGGGTCAACTTTTGTGGCCCGCATCATGCGGGAGGTCAGACTAGATGATCATAATGGTCCCTTCTGACCTTAGAGTCTATGAGTCTATAACTTGGTATCATCAGCCCATTTCATTAGCACACTCCTACTTTTTGTGCCAAGGTCATTAATAAAAATATTGAATAAGGTTTGTCCCAAGACCGATCCTTGAGGAACTACAGAAGTAACCGCTCTACAGTTTGATCATTCACCTTTCAGCACAATGCAATGCCTTCTCTTTAGCCAATTCCTTATCCATCTTGCGTGCTTGCACTGATCCCTATCATCCCTAATATCACTAATAATTTCCCATGTGGTACCATGTCCAGTGCTTTACTGAAGTCCAAGTATATTAGACGTACTGTACTTCCCTTATCTAAAAATCAGTTATTTTCTCGAAAAAGGAAACCAGGTTAGTCTGGTAAATGCATGTTGCATCACATGGCCGCAGGTTGCCCTCCACAGCCCTATAAGCTCTCTGCTTACTCCTAATAACCTTTGTGAGGTGGTTATTCTTCCAGCTGGGTCTGGAGCCTTTCCTTAAAATTTTTTTCCCTTTCTTGGGATGTGAATTTCAGATAGTTTTTGTATAGTTGATTTGAAGAATTTCCAAGTCATCTCTCCATGTAAGTCCTTGATCTCTTCAGTCCAGCTGACTTATTTAACTAATTCCCTAATATCCCAAATTCTGCCCTTTAAAAATCAAAAGCCATGGTTGATGACCTCATTTGTATTATCCTTTCATTTAATTTAAACAGAATCAACTTGTGATCATTCAATCCAAGGTTATTTCTTATGACCAGCTGTTTTGTGATGTCCTCCCTACTTACTAAAACAAAGTCTAAAATGACATCACCTCTTGTTGGTTCAGTGATGATTTGATGAAGAAAACTGTTATCTATCACATCCAGGAATAACCGGGCCCTAGCAGTATAAGTAACATTTATTCTCCCATCTATATCTGGGAAGTTAGCCTCCCATTATGACCCAACTCCCCAAAGTATTTATCTCTGTAATAATATTACAGATCATTATCCATATCCTAGTCTGACCCTGGAGGTCTATAGCAGACCTTAACACTACCTCAGCAGAACCTCTTTTACAATCCTTCCCCAAAGTGATTTTGACTCAGATGCTGTGTTGTCCATACTATTACTTCATATTTCTTTACAATTTACTGTTTCGATTATATATATATTACCCCAACTTTACCTTTATTTCTCTCTTTTAAATAACGCATACTCTACAATACCTGTATTCCAGGCATGAGTACTATTCCACCATGTATTCCGTATAATATCTGGTTTGACCTCTTGCACCAATAGTTCTGGTTTCTCCATTTTATTGTCCAGACTCCTTGCATTCATGTAAAAGCCTTTCAGTTGTTTCCCTCGGACCTCACCCAGTTTTCTCATTTTGTGGTGTTCCATTATCCCTTACTCTGTCTTTATTTAACTGGTATTCCTCCTCCTGTGTGTTGAAGCCAAGGGTGGAAATTTCATGAGTCTCCCAGTCTTTTCCCCTCACCTCCTCCTTTAAAACTCGTCTTATCAGTCTTGCCCATCTTGATCCCATAAGATTAATAGACTCCACTTGAATATCTGATGTATCAATAGAGAAGATTCTTCTTTCTATGAATGCCTCCCAATGTTTGATCATCCCAAAATCTTCATCATAGCACCAGTCCTTAAGCCATCTGTTGATCTTCATTATCTTTTCATGCCTTTGCCACCCTCTCGAGGGACTGGAAGTACATTCTGCTGAAAATCACCTGAGCTTCCACTTCTTTAAGTGTCTTTCCCAGCCACATGTAGTCATCCTTGATCCATTCCAATGGGAATCCAGCAGTGTCATTCATTCTGACATGCAGCACAATCAGTGGATTTCCCCCCCACTTCTATCAGTATCCTCTTTAGCCTCACATCCACATTTCGTGCCCTTGATCCTGTTAGACAGCACTCTCTTTGGTTCTCTAGATCTGGTCTGTCGATTCTTCTGAGTATGGAGTCCCCAGTCAGATAAACCTGTCTCTTCCTGGTGTTGGGATGAATTTGTTTTACGTTCTCTCTCACAGTCCCCTGTACATCATCCTCATATTTCCTTAGGCTCTGGTCCCTGGCTATCTCTGTCATCTCTTCCTCTCTGCTGTAGGGACTGGCTTACCTTCCTTTCTTCCTTGCCACCTCATCTTCTGCCTGTTTCTCCTCCTCATTCCCCAGTTCAACAAATTCAATTTCATCACCGCTAGCTGGTCTCGCCCTCTGCTTTGTCCTTCATGGTCATATTCTTTCATGGGTCACCCTCCACGTCCTTTTGTTCAGCAGGTGTCTTCAAATCTTGAGTTGCCTGTACCAGCACCTCTCTCCTCTCCTGCATTATACCTTCAAATCCCTGTCTGAATTTCCTCATTGTTTCCAGCTGTATAGCTAATCATTGAACTTCTCTGCCTTGAGTTCTATCAGGCATAAGTAGTTTCCATCCGATGTCCCCTCAAAGATGATGTGCATCAGCAGCTTCTGCATCCGACCATCTTCTTTCTCTCCTCTCCTCAGGTCACTCTAGTGCTGCCTCTGTAGCCATCATTGTGTTATTTTCCTAGACCCTATTCCTGGGGGGTGGGGAGGAATTGGGGGACCCTCCCTCTAGCTCCCTCCCATGGAAGCTGCTGCTAGCTGTTCACTGCTCCAGTGTTCACTAGTGACTAGCTTTTTAACCTAGCCAAACTAGGTCAACACTGGCCCCTTGTTAAGGGATATCAGCAAGCACTGAATCAAGCCACATACTTGGAACAAATCACTCCGGTAGTGATTTTATGCTCTGTTCTGAACAGAACACAAAATCACCACTCTTCTCTCAGGCCAAACTCCCACAAAAACTCTGCTCTTAACTGCTCGCCGTTCGCTGCCATGCTCTAATGTGCATTCCCTTTTCAGATCTACCATCTTGCAGCAGCAGTTCAACCGAACTGGGAAGGTAGAACATGGCTCGGTGGCATTGCCTGCTGTGATGCGTTCAGGCTCCAGTGGCCCAGAGACTTTCAATATTGGCAGCATGCCTTCTCCCCAGCAACAAGTCATGATTGGGCAAATGCACAGAGGCCACATGCCTCCTCTGGTGAGCAACATGTTTGTTTCATAATGACCTTGGAAACCAGCACTTGTATCCTGTGCTGTGAGTGGTCTGAAATAAGTATGTGCACACACCCTGTTATTAGATAAGGGCTGGGGACTGTCTGTGTTGTTTTACTGCACTGTTTGGCTGATTCTCTTGTTAAACTGCATACTTTGAATTTCCTTGAAACACACAGAGTCCCATAGTCATAGTCCACCTCTTTACTCCCCCCTCTTTGCCTTAAAACTTTTCTTAAAGTAGTTATAAAACTGTCTGACATGGGCTGGGAAAGAGGGTAGGAAGGCTGAATATTGTTGATGAGGGTAAGTGGTACTGTATGAAAAATACAATATGTATCTATTTACATTGTTCTAAAAAAATCATTTATCTAGGCATCACTTTCTGCTTTGAATATTCCTATGAAGTCTGTTGCTAGCTCCGAGTATATACTGTATATAATGCCACTGGACTTGAATATTAAGCTCACTTTATTAAACAGTCATATTAATATAATTTTAATTTCTCTGTACAACTGTAACTATAAAAGTTACCCTTTATGTCTACCAGTTTTTAAACATGTATTGACTAAGACCATTTATTTAATTTTAAAGGATCTATTAATGAAGGCCTATACATGTCCTCTAAATACCCTAATAGGGCAAATTTTCATAATATCATAGCAGCATAATTCAGAAGAATATTAATTTACTCATCAGTAGGTAATGCGTATAGCAATACATACTCATCCCAGCCTTCAGCTCTGCAGCACCCGTATCACATAGATGTCAGTTTGATTTTAGAATTACTCCTGATGAAGCTAATGGGGTATCAGATTCCAGGAAGCTGATGATGCTATCTTGGAAGTAAATTCAAAACTCATGTTCACATTCACAGAACTCATGTGAAAAAGACACTGGTACTTTTTTACATGAATAGTGGGCATGTTGATTGTGGAAAATCCAATTTTTTGCAATACATATAACTGAGAATAACAAAATATTTTAAACAGCCTTGAGACTGAATCAGAGAAACGTCTGAGTGATCATTTTGCATTGTTAGATAATAAAAATCTTAAAACATGATATTCAGCTGTTTCTGCCAGTCCTTGGGGGATTAGGAAGATAAATTCAGACTCAAACTAAAACCATAGTAATGGAAATCAATGAGGATGCACCCATGGTTAAACCTGTATTACCCCTGTTGGCTCAAATGTTACTGGTCAACATACTCCATTTTTTATATTTGCTTGTAAGTTTCTTCTCCGCCCTTTGTGTTCTAATATTAGCTTACCCTTAGCTCTGTTTATGAAAGATTTATGCAAATTAACACAGTATTAGCAAAAACTATCCCCTCTGTCTGAAAGTAGAGAAGTCTCTGAGTTGCTCTGTCAAAATGTGGCATGGAGCATGAATGTCTTTTCTAATAATAGTTTTATGTGCAATGTGGAAAGCGCATAAATTGTTCCAGAAACAAGGTGCACTGTAGACAGGTCAGTCCTATCAGCAAAACCTTTGTCTTCCTACGTGAAGTTACTGGGATTTTGCAGTTCCCGTGACACTGCTGCAGTTTGGGGGGAGTTCGTGTTCTCAATTAATAGCAAAGAGTTACTGTACTGAAAAGCTTCCCCCTGCTTAAAGAAGCTCATTCGGTTTTCGTCTCCTGCATGGGAGCTGATCAAGTTTCCCAAAGATGTACAAGTTTGAAATAGGGCAGACGAGTACCTTGGGAGGTTGCCTGGATTTGGCTGTCGCTTCCTTTCCCATCTTTTCTCAGGATTCCTCTTCCAGGTTTGGGCCCAAAGACGTGCATCTGGGAGCCAGGTGATACTAGCATGGTCCATTAATGCTGGACGTTTCTGAGCTGCTGTGGGTTAGCCACTACTTAATACATACAGTTTCATGGTTCCTTAAAGAAGGGAATCAAAGACCGTGAGGAGATAGGGAACTAATTAATAAGTGATGTCTTGGATCTGGCAGTTGGACCTGTTAACATTGACAATGATGTGTATCGGCTATTATTTTTTTTACTGTCCTATCTAGAGCACTAGTGTAATGCTTAGAAACCAACCTGCCCATTCAGGGTCTCTGGCATACCCATACCATTCATACCCGCACAAGCATTCTTTCTGTATGACCCAGGAGGAGACTGTGACTAGAAACAGAGCAATCAAAATAAAATTCACCATTTACACAAGTCCAATGATTTAATCTCATTTACTTAGTATATACCAGAAAACATTTCAGATCCGCCTAAATCATCACTTGCAGCTTGGCAGACACTAATTTTCCTTGTCTATTTCACAGACCTCAGCACAGCAGGCCTTGATGGGGACTATTAATACTAGTATGCATGCTGTTCAGCAGGCACAGTCCGACCTCAATGAAGTTGATAACCTACCACCTCTAGGACATGATATGGTGAGTTAATTCATGTGATCCCTATAGGGATTCATCTAAACGGCTTGAGTTATTTATTTCAGAGCTTATTCATTGTCCCTGGATGTAGATTTATATCTCAACAGCTTTATAAATAAGATGAAAATCCTTGTTTATTTTAAGGAATCTGTGTAAGAATATCTTGTTCTGTTTGACTCATATTAACCTTCTGAGGCTATACACCGTGGACCCAGTTGTCCCTTCTTGCACATCTTTGCAATCACATTTACTTTAATGGATCTACACGTGTGTGTGTGAGACTGGAAAAAACTTGAGCCAGTAAATCAGGGGGAAACTGGTGCTTGGACTGTTGTAGTAAGTAACCCCTCAGGGGAGAAATTGAAGGAGTGGCTGTAATGCAAAACCAAGATGCTGAAGAAGGCACAGCTTGCGTAGTGATAGCTCATGACCCTAAAGAAGGGTGGGTGTAATCCTGTCAGATACATCTCAAGGTTTTTCACCTATTTTTGGCTCTAGAAATTTTGGCTCAAGCCTACCTGTTTAAATATTCTTACGTGGCTTCTTAGCTATAATTGTTAATGAGATATGGAGCCTGTCAGCTTTGGAACACCACTTTGGATCCAATTTTGGGATGGAGTAGAGCCAATAAGATTGGTGAGTCCCCATGATGAACCAGATGATGTTCTGTGGTCCTCCATTGTGCACCATTTTGACACCATATTTATGGCGTTCACCCAGAAATCAGAGCAGTCAACCTATGATCTTGCAGTTACTGTAAGGAAAAACTCTTATTTCAGCCTAAAAGCTTAGCTGATGCCATCTGCATCATTTAAAAGGCTTCTGAAAGAATCAAGGGCCTGCAAAGAACTTTACCTATTACCTTATCTTGAGTTTGTTTCACTTGTAGCATGGCATTGCAGTCCTTAATACTCTAATGTTGTTTCTTTCTAGGCATCGAGGGTATGGGTTCAGAACAAAGTTGATGAATCAAAACATGAAATTCACTCTCAGGTTGATGCTATCACCGCAGGAACTGCCTCTGTTGTTAACCTCACAGCAGGTAAATTACAGGGATTGGACTTTGCCAGGCTGCTGTTGTGTATGTACCAACCTCTTTTCAACAAGATGGAGGCTGCCCAGGAGATGTTCAGGAATACGTTTTCCTCCAAATACACAAATGGCTTTTATGACGGAAACAAACCTTATTGTCTATTTTTTACCAGTGTTCATGCAGAATCTATTCACACTCCCCTGATAAAGATAAAACCTAATATTTTACTCGCCTCAGGTAATTGAGAGTAAAATGGGTGTTCTGAAGTATCATTTATTGGCCACTCCTAGAGCCAGGATATTTAGTTATGTGTACAGATGGCTTGTTCTGGTCTGTCTGTCTGATCCTGTGTCTTACACAGTTTTTCAGTTTTTCTCTGAATTGCAGGTTAGGTATAAGATGTTTAAAGGCAGCTAGTGTTCAATACTGTATTTCTTTGGGTCCCTCCATATAGTGAATATGGGAGAGGTAACGGAAATTGTGGGTGTTTTGCTTACCTGGACAGTTGTGAAGAGAAAATATTCCATTAGAACATACATATGTCATATCTATGGGCAGGAAAAGTGGATAGTAGATGCTATATTTTCAAAATGATGCCTGAATTATGTTGCCATGTCTTCTTTACTCCCTTCAGTTTTACTCCTAATTATCTGACCAGAAACCAGCTTGTGCTGTACTACTTGCTTCTGCACTTATCGTTCCCTTCACTTATACAGGTGACCCAGTTGACACTGATTACACGGCCGTGGGATGTGCGATTACAACCATCTCTTCTAACCTGACTGAGATGTCCAAGGGTGTGAAACTGCTTGCTGCCCTAATGGACGATGAAGTTGGAAGTGGGGAGGACCTCCTGAAAGCTGCTCGGACTCTGGCAGGTGCTGTCTCGGACTTGCTGAAAGCGGTGCAGCCCACTTCAGGAGAGGTGAGAATATGGACACAAGTAGTGAGCTTTCACAGGCTCTCCTTGGCTTAAACGCATTCTCCTCAATTAAAGTGTTTGGGTATAAAGCATTTATCCAATTAACCAGAATGGCTCTTTCCAGGCTGTGTCTTCCCAACCCTCTCCTGCCACTGTTTCCCCTATAATCCCCAAGAGACTATCCAAGCACTTCTCCTGATTGCTTTCTTTGTGTCTTCCACATACCTCTGACTTCATGCCTTTAAGTGCAGCACCTTGATCCTAGAACAGCCTCCCAGTTAATATTCACCCATGTGTTTCCTCTTTCATATATCAGCCAGCTGTTTCTCTATATTGTATCCACACTGTTGTATCCAGTCATGCCCTTATATTGTAAATGACCCAGGTTCAGTGTTTGATGTTGTATGCATTATCTGTTGTCAAGTGACACATGTATTTATAGGAATTAGATTTTCACAAGTTGTTTGCAAAGCCTTCGGGTGGCCACTGACGAGACTCTGCTATCTAACTAGTATTGAAAAATCAAGTGACTGGCTTTTATTCTGCCAACTGCAAACAGCCCCATTAAGATGCTAACCAGTCATGAGGGGTATATGTGAGTGGTTGGGGGGCTAACGTGGTAATGTGAACTCTAGGAGCAGAGATGGGGAAATTGATTCAGCCCTAAAAAACTTGATCCGTATATTCTTTTTCTGACACCTCCTCTATTCATTCCTTATTTGTGGGAGGATTTTTTTTTTTTTTTGGTGTGGGGAGGCGGTTTTGATTTTTTACTTTTTAAGTTGAGGCAATCTGAATACACAGTAACATTCCATTCTGTATTTTTATTGGAAGTGTTTGAAAAAAATGTTACCACTTTTTTCTCCTCTCTCAAATACTATAAAAACTCAATTACAAGTTATTAGGGAAGTAAGTGGGGTTGGTACCTGATTTTTTTTTGTTTGTTTTTTGTTTTGTTTTTTGGTCTTTAATGTCAGGGTTGCATGTAGCAACAGATAAAAGGAGAATGAATCTATGGTCTCCATCAAAATTTTATGGAAATAGGAAATTGTACTGACCAAGACAGAATTTAATATTTCAGACAATCTGGTCTGAGTTTGTGTCTGCTATCCGTTTGCCCTGGATCTTTGCAGTTTTAATGCAAAACCAGAAATCTGTGACCACTTCCAAGCAGATTGCAATAAAAGCGTCCAACACATACCTTTCCGTCAGCTGCTGCTATGATGTGTCTTAAAGCTGATCAGATTTCTTCTCACAGTCAGCAACATATTGATACGTGTGTCATTAAGATGCTGCAGGATAAATTAAATAGGAATAAGGAAAAGTAATAGTACTCCAAGAGGTATCTTGAGTAGAGATTTCAGTGATATTACCCTGTATACAGTAATGTGGTTAACAAAGGTGTCTTGAGAGAATTACAAAGTTAAAGAAAAATGTATTTGCTTTTCATTAACCTGTTTTATAGCCTCGCCAAACAGTTTTAACTGCAGCTGGAAGCATTGGGCAAGCCAGTGGGGAACTCCTGAGACAGATAGGAGAGAATGAAACTGATGAAAGATTTCAGGTAAGGTCATGTGAATTGCTCACTGCCAGAACCATGCAATTCCACAGTGGAGCTTGCTATTGTATGTAAGGTTCACAGTAATGTTATCCTATGTGTGTATGCAAGTCTTTTGTATTTCACTTTGATTAGGTGAAAAGATGTCTGTAATTTTGTCCAAAATTTGAATTGGTCCAAATCTTTAATAGGTTTAAAAGTTTAGTCTGGTTTTATTTCTCTCAACACTTTCCTCTTTCATCCAGCTTAAGAAGATGAATATTATCAATTAATACAGCATGTTTCCTATGTGGATTAATACACCAGTCATCCATTAATAATTTAGAACCATTGTTGTTAAATGCTCGATAAGAAATATGCCCTGATTGTTTTTCTTGGTGTCAAGAACAGGTTTGCCTTAGAACCAAAGGGAAGTAATTTACAACAGCAGATAGATTATACTGTATGTGAGACATATCCCAACAGAACTTAATGGCCAATTTAAACACTTATTCGAACAATAAAGCTGTCTGTGTGTTTCAGTAATGTTGTATTCATAGTCCAATGCCTATGACAGCCCCATGCATCCTTACTTGTTTTATGGAAGAGCCTAGACTCTTCAGTCAGTATGAGGGAGCCCTTTACCTGGCCTTTTAGTCCTTTTAGAACTATTTTTTTTTTACCATAACTTGCCGATTTCATGAGACTTAAATGATTTTTATCCTGGACCACAGTAAAAATACAGTGCGCAAAATACATACTGTCTTCTCTCATGTGCAGTTCAGACCATTTTAGTACTATTTGCTTATACAATATGCTTTCAGTGAGTGGTAGAACCATTATGATTGTATAAATCCAATATTTTTGGACCTTTAGACAGCAGTGTTGTTATTTGCCAGTGCATTGATACAGCAGGTTGTAGTACTCTCCTTGAGTACCTATTGCATTTAGTAAACATGATAATTAAAATTACATTGAAAAACTACTGATGTAATGTCCAAGAGGGCAAGCTGCTTAACAAAATCATATGGTTATTTTGGAGGGTCTCAATCCGGCTCTGTTGTATCAAAAATAATTGAAGCACATTGATAGCAGAATTTTAAATGAGGTTGTGTATTTGAATTATAGCAATACAAGCATTAAACCACTTTTACAGCTTCAAACAACCAAATGCATTTTTCTTCAAGAATAAAACATCTTCTGGAGCTGGGGCCTCTGAGGAGTTACAGCTTGGAGCCAATATTTTATAGTGTAAAAGAAAACTGTACTAGCAAATGGATAGCCCCCAGACACACTGTTTGCACCCCTTTATAAATTAAGGTTGCCGTGCCATTTTCTTTTGCTTTTCTATACAGTGCACTTTGTATTGAATACGCAGTATCCGATACCTGCCCATAATTAGTTATCATTTTGCGATCTGAAATCTTCAACTTTACCTTAGGTAAAACATATGGCTGTAGCTCACCACTTACCCAGTGAGATCAACTCAGGTTTTGAGTGTGCATAGCTAGTAACTAACTTCACATGTTCTTACAGTGATGCATTCCCACATGTCTACACTGAGATTACAGCTCTAAATTGCACTACAATATACTTTGTGATATGGAGTCAATATCTTGCATTTGGTTATCACAAATCCGAAGTGTGTAGTTCTACCCATTCCCAAAAGGTGATCTATTCACTCAGATTAGTAACCTGTTTTCACAAAGCATTTTGACCCTTTAAGCAGGCCATGTGTAACAAAGAACATTTCTGGATAATACATAGCAATGTTTCACTGGGACTCTACCATAACTTCCCCTTTGTAGACGCTTTGAGGCTTCTTAAAATCAGAATATTCTAGTTTAATTTTAAGGAATCCAAAATATTGACACTAATGAGTATTTCTGACTGCTTAGGTCAAGTTTTGTCCTTTGTTTTGCCAGGATGTACTGATGAGTCTTGCCAAAGCTGTTGCAAATGCTGCTGCCATGTTGGTGTTGAAGGCTAAGAATGTGGCTCAAGTTGCTGAGGATACAGTCCTGCAGAACAGGGTTATTGCTGCTGCTACACAATGTGCACTATCCACCTCTCAGCTTGTGGCATGTGCCAAGGTAAGGCTCGTGGTAATGGGGTTTGTGAAAGGGGCAATGCATTGTTTCAGTATGTTACACGCTAATTGGTTACAGTCTTCCCTGGGTGTATTGTTGATATGGTTTAATCAGTTATCCTTGAATATCCTGGAGTTAGAGCTCCTACAAAAAGATAAAACTATGCAAAGATATTTAGGGTTCTGTCCCCAAGACACCTTGGATAGTGCCTTGTTTCTCAATTACCCTCTCTTGCAGGTGTTGATTGCTGCTGCTGTGAGCATTTCACAACTTGGCCAGGAGTAGTGATTATTTAATGAAGCATGTCCTGCCTTCATTTGTTTCCCCTTTGGGCCAGCCCAGACTAGACAGTTTCTCTATTGTATCATTATTAAACAATTGCTAATTAGTGTGTTTGTGGTTTGGCTTCTTGTTAGATTACACTGAACATCAAAGGGCAGCCTTTAGAATATGAAGTGCTGCCATGCTATTCCAGAGGAAGGTCCGTGGATAACTGATATGGCCTGCTGTATTGCTAATAGTGATAAAAATGCTGAAAATATTACTCTGAGAAACACAGCTTGCTGTACAGTTATGTGAAATGTTTAACGAAACCTATAATCAGCACACGTTCACCTGCATTATTTTCATCATAACAGAAATTCAAGCCAAGTTTGCCGAAAGGTTTGTGTTCAGATTTATATGCTTTTGCATCATTTAACAGTTTCTGATGTGAACAAAGAGAGACCCATCAGTTTTGCCTGTGTATTGAGAGTTGGCCTAAGGAAAATACAAAGGAGCTCCAATCCACAGAAAGCAAAATCTCAAATAGAATCACTGTGTTCAATGTGGCTCTGTTTGGAGAAATGTTACTGTTTTCATCTTAAGACTTAAAAGCTTTAGCATATGAAAATACAAAATATTTGTGATCTGCAGGGTTGGGTTTCTTAGGAATAATTGCTGTTGGAAAATGAGCATTCAGATATTGTAGAACACCCAAGAGGATTATAATAAAATTAATAGCCAATTTGTGGTATTCAATTTTCAGTCTTTTCTACTTCATTGCTGTGACTGCTGGGCTTTGTATAATGAATATGTAAGATCATTAACTGGATGTGATGTTCTGACTGCTTTTATATTTCCACAGGATGGCACAAGGCAGTCAATGTCATTTTTTTCTTTTGTGGAAAAACACCCATCCGACTTCTTTCCTTTGCCTGTAACTTACTTGACATACCTGAATGATATGGACTGAATCTGTTGCATTATTAGAGCACATCCATGGGTTGCTCGGCGTGGTAGTTTGTACTTTCAGACACGCAATTTTCTTATCTGTTTTTCCAGGAGTTATTTTTGGCTTTAGCAAAATATTGGCTGACAGTGGAAGGCTTTGCAATACCAACTTTAATTAAACTTCAGTAAAGGATCACAGTCCCTATGATAAGCTTTCTTCAAGTGAAGTTCTAGGACACAGAGCTGTGTGAAATGACTGCAGCTATCTTGCCAGAATCTGCCCCATACCTGCCATTCAGAACCAACTTCATGTATTTCTCCATTTGTTCAGTAATCCAAAAAAGTCTTAACTTAAAAGGGCAAGGGCATTTTTAACTCTTTGTTAGCCTCCAGTGGTAATCATACCATGCTGTGGTATGATATACATTACTAATCTCTTTTCTGACAGTAGAAGATAACTGCAGTACCTCATGCTGTGGTGTGGCAACTGTTAGGTGAATAAGCTGTTTTCTGAATGCTAAGGACATGGATATGTCATCTTTTAGCAGTGGGCTGGTAACTTCTGGCCTGTTAAATCTTTTCTAAACACCGTGTTCTCTCTCTCAATGTAGGTTGTGAGCCCCACTATCAGCTCTCCCGTATGCCAGGAACAGCTGATCGAGGCTGGAAAACTGGTGGATCGTTCAGTGGAGAATTGTGTCAGAGCCTGTCAGGCTGCCACAGATGACTCTGAGCTGCTGAAGCAGGTCAGTGCAGCAGCCAGTATAGTCAGCCAGGCCCTGAATGACCTCTTGCAGCACGTCCGTCAGTTTGCAAGCAGGGGAGAGCCCATTGGACGCTATGACCAGGCAACGGATACCATTATGTGTGTCACTGAAAGCATCTTCAGTTCGATGGGGGATGCTGGTGAGCTGCTTTATCTTCATACTCTCTCTAAAGGGGATATTACTTTCATCTGACTCAAGTTCCCTTCGACATATACCCGTTTCAAGTAATGCAAATCAGAAATCCTTAATGCTTGTGATGCCCATAGGCTTGTGCTCCCATGAGCAGTCATTCTAACCACAATATTAAATCATTAAAATACCCGTAAGTGTGTGTTGGGGGAAGGGGGTTCCTAAATTGTATAATGGATGCATATGGAGCTCTGCTAACACAACTAATAACATGCCTGGAAAATCAGGGGATGCAGTGTATATGATGTCTAATGTCTTGCTGGTTGTGTTGCAGTGCTTCACATCATGCGAATGTTATAGCTGTTTTGTATCTCTAAATGTGAATACAACCTGTTAAAGTGCTCAATCAGCAATTTTATTCTTTGCCAGTAATTAGCTCCCTAAAGATTTATTTACCTGACTAGACTTAGCAGGCAAGAATTTTGTTTCCATTATGTGCTTGGCTTTTATAGTGTAGCTTTTGAACCCTTAAGCTCTTTGTTTAAAGAACATAGCCGTTGGAGCCAAACCAAGCAGAGGCCTAATGTTTGATGAGCTTGACATACAACTCCATTATAGAAATGTGAAATGTTGAGAAACCTTGGATAAGGTTACTTTGGATAGTGTTTATATACAGTTCACAGCCATACATGCATTGATGCTTGTCACATTCAAGGGTACAATCCAGACCAGTGAGAGGCTGTGTCACCACCTGCCCTGCAACCTGGGGTGCCTCATGATGCTTTGCTGTTGTCACTCCCCAGTCTGGGCCGTTCACAAACAGCCAAACTGCACACAGGTCACACCCTGAGTGTCTGTGTATAGCTGCAGCCCTGGTCCAACAGCTCTGACCCCAGCAGCCTGTCAACCACACTCCAGTCACACCTTGGCTTCCACAAGCCTTGGTTCCTAGTTGCAGGGTGACCCCAACACACTCGTGGTTCTGAATTTTCCCCAATTCATGTGTTCTGCACTGTCTAGCCCTATCCTAGGTACTTCAGATATTATATGTCTGTTGCCCCTGTGTAAAGGGTCAATATTCAGCAGTTTGCTATTTCTACTGAGTTACCCAAACACTTCAGTTTAAACACAGCACTAGGTTAGTTTTTGATTAAAAAATAAAACAAGTTTATTTTACTACTAAGAGAGAGATTTTAAGTGAGTACCAGTATAAAGCATTAAAGTCAGAAATGGTTACAAGAGAAATAAACATAAAACACTTTCTAGTAACTAAAAACTTAAGCTAGATTTGGTTCAGGGTAAAATCGTTTCCGCAGGTTCCCAGCGGCATTGCTGACCGAATTCTCAGGTCAGGACCTCCCTGAAAGTCAAAGGGCTGGTTTCTTTGTCATCTTAGGTAAAAAGAGAGAAAGACGTAGAGAGATATGGAGAGAAAGAAAGATGACATTTGGGGTGTTTTTGCCCCTCACTTTCATAATCCAATCACCCTTTGAAATGCATTTTCCTGAGTGTCATCCTGAGGTAAAGTTCTCTCCAGCTGCTGAGGAAACAGACATTCTCATGGTGAAAGAGGTTCCCTAAAATGCAGATTGATCTGTTCCTGCCCCCCTTCATTGCCAAAGAATGGGCCACTTGACAGATGATTTGCCAATTAACCTTGATGATACTTGGCTAGAGGCACTGGCTTGTCCTTTGTCTTTGAGGAACTGATTTACCTTCTCTTGCTGTCCCAAGGACCCTGTTTACTACATATATCTATATCTATAGATATATGTATAAGAAACACACATTTCTTTGTTTAGGATGGACCTGTTTAACAACTTCTGCATAGTCAGGGCTATGTGGGTTTGAACATGTGCTAACAACTTTGCATATAATTCATAATTTCACATATAATATACACACATTTCACCATATTATTAACCAGTGAGTTATTAGTTTTCAAATGATGCCTCACAAGATTATTACAGTAGTGTGCAGGGTGTGAATACAGGGATGCATTTGGTCACGGTGCTATGCTAGGTTTTTAGTATAGGCTATTCACATTCAAACAATTTGTGGTTGTATTTCTATTCTGAATTTGTCTGTATTCAACTTTCAGCCTTTGGATTGTGTTATAACTTTCTCGGTTAGATTTAAGGACCCGTTACTAAATATTTGTTCCCCGTGTAGATACTGTAATGAAATTACCCTCTAACCTTCTCTATGTTAAGATAAATAGATTGGGCTCTTTGAGTCTACCATTTTAAGCATGTTTTCTAATCCTTTAATCATTCTTGTGGATCTTCTCTGAAACTTCTCCAGTTTAACAACATTCTTCTTGAATTGTGAGCACTAGAACTGGACACAGTATTCTAGTAGCAGTTGCGCTAGTGCCAAATATATAGGTAAAATAAGCACTCTGGTCCTACCTGAGATTCCCCTATTTATGCATCCTAGGATCACATTAGCTATTTTGGCCTCAAGGTCACACTGGGAACTCATGTTAGCTGATTATCCACCACAACCCGAAATCTTTTTCAGAGTCACTGGTTCCCAGGATAGAGTCCCCCATCCTGTAAGAATGGCCTATGTTCTTTGTTCCTAGATGTATACGTTTACATTTAGCAATATTAAAATGCATACTGACAGGTTTCAGAGTAGCAGACGTGTTAGTCTGTATCCGCAAAAAGAAGAACAGGAGTACTTGTGGCACCTTAGAGACTAACAAATTTATTAGAGCATAAGCTTTCGTGGACTACAGCCCACTTCCAAAGAAGTAGTCCACGAAAGCTTATGCTCTAATAAATTTGTTCAATTCTAAGGTGCCACAATTCCTCCTTTTCTTCTTTTTGCCTGACCAATGTGGTCCCAGTGAAT